AAATAATAATAATAATTTGTAATGATAATTATAATTAAATATAATAATAATTATAAATTAGTATTAATTATAATAATTTAAATAAAAAATTCTAATAATAATTTTTAATAATAATTAAAATTAATTACATTAATAAATATAAATTAGAATTAATTATAATTAATAATAATAATTTGTAATAATAATTATAATTAATTACAATAATAATTATAAATAAGAATTAATTATAATTAATAGTAATAATTTGTAATAATAATTATAATTAATTATAATAATTATTATAAATCTCAACAATTATAATTATAATAATAATTAAAATTATAATAATAAAATTTATATATTAAAATAAAAATGAATTATAATCTATTTTAATAATTATTAGAATAGTCATTACATATGAAAAAATTTAATAATTATATTTCTGATTCAGGGTGTTAGCAGACCTGGACAATCTAATGACAGGGACGACGACGAGGCGTTCGATGACTATTATGATGGTTCTGGCATGCGTCTGTTCGTCGGGAGAGGGACATGGAAAGGCAGGCGATGATCGATGAGGCTCGGAGGGTACAGATTCGTCAGGCTAGCCAGAGTTCGAGACCCCCTACACCAGTGCGAGATGGTCCGCAGGGATATCATTTTGAGGGCCAGCCAGATAGTTCGCGACTCCACGGAGTCCTCCCGTACGGTGAGCATGGATTTTATTATCCTGGGCAAGCAGGCAGTTCGATGCCCCTGGCACCAGGACCGTACGATCAGTCGGGATATGCTTTTCCCCGCTACGCAGGGAAGTCGATACCTCCTCGCGCACGCATACCATTACCCTATGGTCAGCAGGGGTATGTTGATGAGTCGTACGGCGAGAGGGAGCAGGGTTCAGAGGAGTGTGACTCGGACGACTCCTCAGATGGTCAGGACCACGCACAGTCTACGAGTCCTAGCCACCCTCGTCCTCCTGTACAACCTGTTCGTCCGGTACAGCCGGTTCTACAGCAGGTTCGTCCGGTACAGGTTGTTCGTCCTACACAGGCTGCTCCTCAACGACAGGCTGGGGGGCGTTTTGGCCCATCTGCATCCTCATCAGGTAAATAATTTACGTATTTATTGTTGTTCAACATAAATTATTTTCACTTAATCATAAAAAATTATCGGTACTGTTAGAAAAGTATTATCGGTCTGCTCCTCAACTACGGTATAATTATTTTGTAATTTAGAGGAACCATACAATTAGTTAGAAAATTATTATAATTATTTTTATTATTGTTATAATCAATTAGTAGTAATGTTACATAATAAATTAGTTTAAAATTGTCATTATATTTTATTAATGTAAAATGTAACGTGTGTATATTAATTGAAAAAAAAGAACGGGAAACTTATGAAATATGTTTTATTAAATATATTTTATTTAATGCATCTTCCAGCAAGTCTATATATACAGATATGTTGTATTGTAATGCAGGTACTAACAAACGAGCTAGGACTGATGGGAGTGTCATCCCTAGCTTTCTAGGGCACGTCGCCTCCCGCATGTGGAGTGGAGATTTGAGGGGGCTGCTGAAATGCCACAACAAACTGAGAGCGGTCAAGAATCTGAAGGCTTGGCATGATGAGATGTCTTCCGATGCGAGAGCTCTGATCGGCAAGACCGGGCTGTCACATTTGGCCGACTCCATGCACATCTACTTGGACACCCTACTCCTTTCTGCGTTTGTGGAGCGGTGGCAGCCTGATACTAACTCGTTTCACCTGCCTTTTGGTGAAATGAGCATCATGCTGCACGACGTCCGGGCCATTTTGGGCGTTCCTGTGGAGGGAGCCGTGGTCGCTGAGGACCCAGATTCGGACGCCTGCCATGGGCTCTGCATGTTGATACTTTCGGTCACCAAGGGCGAACTCATGAGTTCGTTCTGGCAGCGTGGTTCGGTGACCAAAGCCTACATTGTGGGGGCATTCAGGGGGAAACGCCGGCCGGCTAGGGATGAGGCGGGTGCCTGGATGTGGGTGATGCTGGCTACCACATTGTTCGTCGACAAGAGTGGTAGTAGAGTGACCCCCAAGCTCTTGAACGAGGTGCTCGACGGCTTGGATTTGATTGGGGGTTACTCATGGAGATCGGCTACGCTAGCATACATGTACAGACAGCTAGGTATTGCCAGCCGAGGGGACTCCAGTGGACTGTCGGGCTGCGGAACTCTTCTGCAGTCCTGGATATACGAGTATTTCCCCGATTTTCGACCCCAGGGGCGTCTACCCATCAGTCCTGACTGTCTCGCACGATCTCGCTCGTGGAGCGTAGGGAATGCGCCAAGGTCAGACAATCGGCTCACAGCCATCCGTCGGCGCCTCGACAGACTCACTGCCTCCGATATACGTGAAGTTATTTTATTTAAATTAGTTACCCGTTATTTAAAATAATATAATTATTTTTATAAATGCTTTTATGCAATTGTGAACAGGTGCAATGGTTGCCATACGGCAGCTCCAGCCCAGATGCGATAGAGCTGAGGACTCTTTATAGCGGATTGATTCGATACTGCGATGTTGTCGAGCCGTACTTGCCTGCGCGGTGTCTGCGTCAGTGGGGGTATGTCCAGACTATCCCTCCCCCTACATACCCGCCAATCAGTGCAGTACGTGCTTGGGAGTCTAGGAACTACAGGGTTGAGCATCCTGAGGCTGCTGCAGTAGGTGCCTGGACCCAGTTCCCGATTTCTGGGACAGTCAACACCGCTATGTTCACCCCCACCACACATGATCGCGGGGAGGCGACTAAGGATTACTTGCAGTGGTACAGTTGGGTTTCCCATCCGACTCTCATGGGCAAGGAGTTGCCGGACGAGAACGAGGTCCCTACGCGTGTCAATATCGCCTATGTAAGTTGGTTACTAAATTTTAATTAATGTTATTTCATTACAATATTTTTTTTTAATAAATTTTAGTCATATTTTTTTATTCTTTCATTTTTTTAGTGGGTGCACTATCTTTTGGGCATTACATCGACCATGCAGCAGTTCCTTGTTGAATGTCCGGAGGCGGCGTCCAAGAAGATTTTGCTAAGTTTAAGTTGGATTACGACAATGCCCAATAATGATGTAATGAATGTTTTTTTTTAAAATATTATTGTAAAACAATAAGTTGGAATGCGATCCACGTGACATGGTAGACACGAAGGATAAAAAAAAATCACAATTACAAATGTAGTACCACTTCGAATGAAAAATAGTACCGCATTTGCTTCTGAGTAGTACCACTTTTAGTTCATACGTGATTTGAAAAACGTATTCTTAAAGTACGTGCTTTTTATTTTTGTCGACCTACTTTTTTTATTTTTTATTTTTGTCCACTTATTTTTTTTTTATTTTTATATAAATAAATAATTCTTCATTTTGTTTTTTATTTGCTAAACTTAAGTTGAATGAGAAGCGTCATACCACAAGTGAATAATATCGTTCTTTTATTCAACAAGTTTTTTTTTTAACAGTAAACCACAATCGCAACCTAGCCTCGTACTGATCCTCCCAACCCACAACCGATCGATCTCGGTAACGGAACCACATGGGTTCAATAGGCGGTAATGGACAATCAGGAGTCAAATCTAAATGAATATAGTGTTCTACGGTACCAAGATGGCACATGACAATCTCACGACATAGTCCTCTAGCCGATGATCGTGCAATGAGAGGCAACACTGTGATGCTGAAGAAGTCGTGCTGCCCACCTTGCGGACCAGAGCCCAACAGAACGAAAACCGCATTAAATAGGGTCGCAACGGCGTAGAGGTCCTACGGAACTTCGAACCAGTGAGCCCGTCCACAAGGGCCCTTGCCCCTCCTTGCGCGACGTAGTCCGGTGTCGATATCTCTAAAACAAATGTACTCGTACAATTCACGGTGGCTGTCGACCTCCTTCGCAATGTTGTCTCTTGCATCTGCCCAGTACTTCTGGTGACCATACACGTGACTCGCGATGACCCGAAATCCGCAGTTACCATCCGCCTCCACATTCAGGTAACTCACTATGTAGTCCAACATATGCCAGGGGATATTTTGCCACATTGAAAATTCAAATATATTTGTCGGTCTAAACTCTGCAATATCATAATAATTTCACGTCACAATTTATATAATCATATAAATACTTTAATTAACGCTGAACCATATTTAAAAAAAAAATGTATGACCTGCTTCTCCTTGTGACTGTTGAGAAGACGAACTTGTCTGTCCACGCGAAGAAGTGGTCGTACGGCTCGATTTTCGACCTCGCGATCTATCGTTGTACTCAAAAGCAGATGGTTTACACTTAGTTGAATTAGTTTTCTTGGGACGACCTCGCGGGTTATCCTTAACCTCAGGTTCCGCATAATCCTGTTGGTCTGGGTAAAGATGACTGTACAT